AATACTATATTTCTAAGATATCTAAGCTCTAACACCGAGTCTATCCAATTTATTCTACGATAAGAGCATGTAATGTACTTAATTATTGATTTCAAGCCACTGGTTTACTACTCTGGTGTAACTTTATAAAGTCATCAATCCTAAATAGATATAAAGTTTAAATGGTAATGGTAGAATTTGTCAACAAAAAAGTTATTAGATATTAATCAAAGGTAAAAATATATAAAAATGCTGGTTTATTAAATCTAAAATACATTGAAAAAGAAGGTTAAAGCATATGAAAATAAGTCTTTTGAAAAAAAATAGAAAAATTATGAAGCAGGAACAAACCAATGTGGTCTACTTTGTTTCTAATACAAAAACTTCGATACGTAAGAGTTTAAAACGTGAATGGGCAAAAGTCAAAGAAATGCAAATGGAAATCAAAACTATTATTTTCTTTACAAAAAAACAATGGATTGAAACGTAACCTGTTTTGTTCTGATTTTAAGAATAAAGTTTATGCAGACCGCATTGTAGTTAATTTTTTTTTAGTTCCCTAAATAGAGGTAGAGCAATCCATATTTTAACCCGTCTGCACTTTCTTTTTTGAAAAATCATATGAAAAAGCTGCAAAGAACACAATCTAACATATACATAGAGTTGAATACAAATTTTAATTATTAAAAAAAGTTACATATACAATGTATAATGTCTTTATTAAAGTTTTGTCAAATATTCGCTACGCTCTTTGTTAAAGTTTTGTCAAATACTCGCTACGCAGAATATTTTTTTTAAAAATATTTTATTTTAAAAAAACAATATTGCATATGTTTTTTTTTAAATAATTTTTTTTAAAAATTAATTTTTTTTTATAATATATTTAGCTACTAATCATAGATAGAGATGTCAAACCAAACTAATCTGTTTACCTAATCTATTTTAAATTGAATAAAATTTTTGTTATAACTAATCCGGAAAATATATAATTTTGAACACATAACTTAATATGTATTATTTAATGATTCTAGTTTTCATGGCCAGTCCAAGAACTCTTACAAAAATTAAATCAAAAATAATTTTCAACTTTTATTTGGCTGGATATCTATTCAAATAAAATATAATAAAATTTCATAAAAAATATTGTAAAATTTGAATAGATTTTTATTTAAATATATATATATATATATTGCTATTATTTTCAAATATGTAATAATAAATAAAAAACTAATTAAAAATAAACACTTAATGGAAAATATATAATTCCAAATTTTCTTATATAATTTTAAAAGATAATTATATTATTTTCTATTAATTATATTTAATTATTTATAATGGTATATGATGTAATAATTTACACATTTAAATTCATTTTTAAAAATACTCATTCAAATTAATAATATAGAGATATGTAAAAGATAAAAATGGTAGAAGGTATCGTATCGTATAGGTATAATTTTGCCAAATATGATAAGATATAAAGTTAATATCTGTATAAATAATATATTGGACCGGATAATTAATTAAAAACTTTACTAAGATGAATCCTTAACAACAAAAATGATTTTTCAACACGTGTTTGTTTGCTTGTATTTTTTGAAAGTTCGTGAAGATAAAATCATTTCTTAACGAATATTTTAATTATTTTATTAACACACGACCAAGGTTATTTATGATCTATACAGTTATTTAACAGAAACATTTTTAGAATCTGTTTCTAAATATCCTTTACTGAAAAAAAAATTAAACCTGTAGCTAAAGATGTATTAAATATGTTACCAAACGTTTATTGAACTTAAACATTTATTAAACTTATAAATTAAACATTTTTGAATCAATAAAATTTAACTTAGTTCTTTTATTTTATATTCTATATATTATAAAATATAATTTACAAAAAAATTATCCTCAGTAGATTTAAAATCTAGTTTATAAATTACAATTAGTAAAGTCTAAAACATTATTATTACAGGAAAAATTACAGAAGAAATATATATTTTTAACGTCTAAACAATTTCAGTTATATTAAATCTAAGTTACAAAGTTAGTATCCTGTGAATCAAATTATTACATATCTAATTTCCGAGGAAGATACATGAAAATAAATAGTTCTGAAAAATCGATCTTTTGATATTAAAGTTTTCGTATTAATTTTTAAAAGGTCTACTGGGCCTATATTTGATCTAACTTCATATTTGGGCCGAACTAAAAAAAACTTATTAGTTATTGTTTTCTGTATTTGGGTCAAACCCAACTGTAAACGCAAATCAAATAAATTGTCTGGTTCTACACACTTACTATGGTGTGAGTGTATGCAGGTGAATATTCCTCTCGTCTTCTTCATTTTCTGAAGATAGCCCAATCTGGAAACGCAAGAGCTGACAAAATTGCGAATTCTCTCTCGCTCGTCGCGATTTCCATGGACATATCTCTTCTCCGTCCGGCGGCGCAGTCGCTTCTTCCATCATTTTCGAAGCCGAATCGTCGAATACATTTCTATAAGCCTCTCAAACTCCGTTGTTCAGTAGCCGGTGGTCCCACCGTCGGATCTTCAAAAACTGAAGGCGGAGGCACCACCATCACGGCGGATTGTGTGATTGTCGGCGGAGGTATTAGTGGTCTCTGCATTGCGCAGGCTCTCGCTACGAAGCACCCTGATGCTGCACCGAATCTGATTGTGACCGAGGCTAAGGACCGTGTTGGAGGAAACATCATCACTCGTGAAGAGAATGGTTTTCTCTGGGAAGAAGGTCCCAATAGTTTTCAGCCGTCTGATCCTATGCTCACCATGGTGGTAAGTTCTTGAATCCCGTCTCTTCTTCGACCATTGACTTTGCTCATGAACAACAACCCAAATAAATTTGGCTTCACATGTAAGGCTTTACACATGATTCTGAAAGTTGGGAACAATGGTATTGAATTGCCTGCATGTTGTATAATTAATATGAGAATGTTAAGCGTTTGGCTCTGTTTATTGGAAGAGTTGTGAGTAATGTCTTTGATTCCTGAATTCAAGTCTTCTATGTTTATGGTTAGTCCAGGTTGATAGTGGTTTGAAGGATGACTTGGTGTTGGGAGATCCTAATGCGCCAAGGTTTGTGTTGTGGAATGGGAAACTGAGGCCGGTTCCATCAAAGCCAACTGACTTACCGTTCTTCGATTTGATGAGCATTGGTGGGAAGATCAGGGCTGGTCTTGGTGCTATTGGCATTCGACCACCACCTCCAGTGTGTACTCTGATCACAAGTAGATATAAAAAAAATTCCGCAAAAGTTACGTGGATAGAATTTTCTCATGTTCTTAGAGTTTGAAAGGTGACAGGGTCGTGAAGAGTCGGTGGAGGAGTTTGTACGGCGTAACCTAGGTGATGAGGTTTTTGAGCGCCTGATTGAGCCATTTTGTTCAGGTAGAGTGACAAATAATTCTTCTGATTAACCATTTATTTGATGGAAAGCCTTGTGCCATTATCTGGTAGTGTTCTTTCTGTTTTCATATTATTAGAGTAATAAACGAATATCTCTACACCAATCCTGTTTACGGTGGGAAAGGAATTTGTTCTTCTAGCGAATCCTTGATGCTTAAAACTAATGCTTTCAGGTGTTTATGCGGGTGATCCTTCAAAATTGAGTATGAAAGCAGCATTTGGGAAGGTTTGGAAACTAGAGCAAAACGGTGGAAGCATCATAGGTGGTACTTTCAAGGCAATTCAGGAGAGGAAAAATGCTCCCAAGGCAGAACGAGACCCGTGAGTAACATAACATAACCTTTTCAGTTGCTTGGGGTCTTTTGTCTCTTAATATATATTTGTAAAACAACTTAACTTGCTACTTCAGGCGCCTGCCAAAGCCAAAGGGCCAAACAGTTGGTTCTTTCAGAAAGGGCCTTAGAATGTTGCCAGAAGCAATATCTGCAAGGTATCTTTCTGGTACTTGTCTCTCTCTATCGTAAAGGATAAAGGCAAACACTTTCAAGTGTTTCTGAGGTCTTTTGCTATTTGGCAGGTTAGGTAGCAAAGTGAAGTTGTCCTGGAAGCTCTCGGGTATTACTAAGATGGACGGCGGAGGATACAACTTAACCTATGAGACTCCAGATGGTGTAGTTTCCGTGCAGAGCAAAAGTGTTGTAATGACTGTGCCATCTCATGTTGCAAGTGGTCTCTTACGCCCTCTTTCTGTAAGTTTCTCGCTTTGTGAACCAGAAATTCGCACTAAACTGTTGATTCGAGTAGACACATGTGGTTCTTATATATCAAGTGTTTCCTTTTGTTTAATTCTCAGGAATCTGCAGCGAATGCACTCTCGAAACTTTACTATCCACCCGTTGCTGCAGTATCTATCTCGTACCCGAAAGAAGCAATCCGTACAGAATGTTTGATAGAAGGTGAACTAAAGGGTTTTGGGCAATTGCATCCACGCACGCAAGGAGTTGAAACTCTAGGTAAAAATCTTGTAGTTTTAATCGTTCTATCATGTTGATTGTTCATATAAGCTTCATGTTGCTGTTTGGACTTTCTTTAGGAACTATATATAGCTCCTCGCTCTTTCCAAATCGAGCACCGCCCGGAAGAATTTTGCTATTGAACTACATTGGCGGGTCTACCAACACGGGGATTCTATCCAAGGTAAATAACAACAAACACTTATAACACATTCTCTTAGAACAAGAACATCTAATAACCAATCTTTTCCTCTCTCTATTCCCGGGTTTTGATTTTGCAGTCAGAAGGTGAGCTAGTGGAAGCGGTTGATAGAGATTTGAGGAAAATGCTGATAAAGCCGAATTCGACTGACCCAGTTAAACTAGGAGTTAGGGTATGGCCTCAAGCCATTCCTCAGTTTCTAGTTGGTCACTTTGATATCCTTGACGCAGCTAAATCATCTCTAACATCTTCGGGCTACGAAGGGATCATTTTGGCCGGCAATTACGTAGCGGGTGTAGCCTTAGGCCGGTGTGTAGAAGGCGCATATGAAACCGCGAACGAAGTAAACAACTTCTTGTCACGGTACGCTTACAAGTAAATGTAAAACATTAAATCTCTCTCACTCTCAGCTTGAGGAGAGTTTTATTGAGTATGATTAAACTTCAGTTTGATTGATACAAAGATTTTAGTTTATAGATTACAATTCGAGAGTTGCAAAGTGGTTTTCTAGGAGAAGGGTCTTTGATTCTCGCAGTCTAAATTAGGTCCTGTGTTGACTTTAAACAGCTGAGCATATCTTTGGAAATACCCGACCCGGTCACTGACCCGTCCATCTCCTGGAATCCCACATTCTAACCCGCCGTTTATGATGTTGGTGGTTAAACCGAAACCAACAGTCCGGTTCGCTGCTAAATCTGCTTTCGTCGGTCTGTAACGGCCGATCATGACATCATGGCACGACGGTTTGGGAGTTTGTTCGGTCATCCAAAACCAAAGAGCTGTCTTGAAAGCTAAAACAGAGTTGTTGGCAACCATTTCTGGGTTCCTTAAACCGTCGAAATCCAGTGCTCGACCCGCCTGACCGTAATTATAATTCCTAATCATAAATTAACCAAATGACCGGTTAGTCGAGAAAATAAAGAATGGTTATTGATGGTGTAATTAAGATTATGGACGTACCAAGAAAGTTGAATGGGACCTCTTCCTTTATAAGACTTGCCAGGGAAACAAGGCCACTCCGTATTAGAAGCATCGCAATAATTACTCTGTGGACTCACTTCCTCTTTAAAGCACAGTCCCCACGCGTACGGGCCGTCTGGTGCCGTGGCCCAACCACCGGTCGTCTCGTGAGATATCTGAGCCAAAAACGCAGCCACTTCGCGCCGCCTTGTCCTTAAGGCTCCTACGCTAGCGAACCTCGGGAACCGCCTTGTAGCCTCCACGAATGCTTCGTAGGTGTAGAAACCTTTTGCAGGGCATGCGTTGTTTTCCTTGTGGATGAAGATTGAGTCGAAGAGGGATCTTGAGATTAGCCTCGTGATTGAAGCGGGTTTGTTGTATGAGTGTCTACGAGCTTCGGTTTCATGGAGAGATGATGAGATTGAGAAGATGAAGAAGAAGAGACATAGCGTAAGAGAAATTTGTTTCTCCATATTTTGTTCTTCCGTGTGTGTTGTGTGTGTTAAAAGATGGGGCTATGGTTTTGTTATTATATAGAGATGTAGTGGAGGAAGACTTAGTTCGATGTTTTCGTTGGTCAACGTTTTGACTTTTTTTTTTAGTGGAGTTTCTTCATTTTGATTAGTTTTTTTTAATTTTGGGTCAACTTTACTTGCCACTGTTAGAAGGAAGACCCGTTCTTGATTTGGAGAATGTACCGATAACAATTTTTTTTTCGGCAACCGATAACAATTTGTTATCAAATATATTTCTTGGTTTACATTTGTTTCAAAACCGGATTAAATCGAACCATTTCAGTCTGTATTTTTGTACTTTTTGAAGAACCAAAACCAACTTCAAACCGAAATATAAATTATTTAAAAATTTAAAATATAATTGTTTCGATGTTATATATATATATAATTAGTTTAAATTGGTATATATATATATATTATCAGAGACTATTTATATAAAATTAAAAAGTACAGAAGTTTTAGTTCGGTGGCTAACTAAGACAATGTCCATCAGGGGTTTACCTGAGGTTCATGGACCAGTTTCAAAGGCAAAACCAATTAAAAAAAAAAGAAAAAAAAAGCTATATTGGATGAACCGGTTTATTCCGAAGACTCTGAAGACCTCGTCTCTTAACCACGTGGAAGAACCTGATTGGAGCAAAAATATTGTGTAATTTTGAGCGACAAATTTTTTTTTTTCTCGGACAAAATTCATTTTCATCCCATCGCAACGGGGGGTCTCTCTTTCTCTTCCCCGACGATTTTCAATCAATCGGAGATTCCGTCAAATTTACCGGTGGTGTTGTAATCCGAGCATCGAGTATCTATTCCCGTCATCAAGATAATCGTTCTTCCTTTGTAATTTGTTAAATTGTTCTTCCTTTGTAATTTGTTAAACTGTTATAACTTTTGGGGAAAACGAACGAAATCAATCGAGGAACTGTTATAAGATGTTTTCTGATATTGAGTTTAGTATCTTTTGATTTTGTTTCCTTCTAACTATCGCTCCAGAATTCATGCTATGAGATTCTGGTGTTGAGTTTAGTATCTTTGGGTTCTTGTTACAGCTAATTCAAATGAGAAAATCAACTTATGGAACCGCAGTTTTCATTGCCTTTTTCTCTGTGTCAGCATTGCAACCGAAAGTCAGCTTATTTATTTGCCAATTGATCTGTTTTGTTAGCTTGCTGTTAGTTTTACAGTGATGATTCACGTTTTGGAATAATTAAAGAAGCTTGTAAAGTTGTGTTATCTGCGATTTTGTTATTGATCCGAGTTTGAAGGTGTTTTCTCTGTGTTGATACCATTTATGCTAATTCCCAGAATTTTTTTTAATTTTTGATGAATCCATTATAAAGTTTACTAATGGAACCTAGAAATTGACACAGATTCTTCCAAAAACTAAAAACCACAAAATAATAATATTCTATTCTAGTGAATGTACATGCTCTAATTGCGCCGAGCAACTTGTGAAAGGAGTCAAAGGAGCCATTTTTTAAAGCCTTGTGAAATGGCGTTGGACCAAGTCATGATGACTTTTTGATAAGAAAATATAATCGAATTGTTCACACCAACATATAGATGCCAAAATTCAAAATAACTCACATCCATGGTGAAAGAAAAAAAAGGATCTTAAATCCCATATCTAAAATAGTTTTAAAACAAATTATTGGTGATAAACCAAGTAACTGTGGTCCAGAGTATGAATGAATCATTTTCAATGTCATTCGTCGGAAAAATTCAAGTTTTTCATAGATATTTCAATCATCTTATACCACTTTTAAATGTCTACAGTGATAAGAAAATCCAAATTTCTATAGAACTTGGAAAATTAGCCTGAATTTCAGTCTAAAATTCTATTAATCAAAAACAAAATTATTTGTAAGAAAATAGGTTGTTTACTTCCTTTTTTCGGGTATGTTGTTTGCTCACTAATGTTCTGTTATTCGTCCAGTTATTATTATTTCATATATTGATTAATTGCTAAATGCTTAACCATTAATTCGACCACGTGATTACACAAAAGAGACGTGAAGTTCCACTACATTGGTGCGATGTGAAGTAATCACACCATTGCTTTGATTTACATGTCCTATTTCTATTGTAAAGCGTTATGTATGGTTTATTATATAGTACTGTCAAGTGGCCTTAGATTGAATTTCGTCAATTGTTAGTTGTAGGTTAGTTTTGAAACTATATCTATTCGCATAATTTGATTGATATAAGAAATAGACTACGAATATCAAACAATAACCATGTTAGGAGAAAGATTAGTAGACAGATTGAAGATATTGTAAAGGATCTCTAATCATTTGTTTTTACATCATACTTTTCAATTTACTATCTACCAAAACTACATTATTAATTCTAATAAATATATTAAAAAAGTATTTCATCTTCTATTAAAACAGAAGCATGTTTCGTATCTAAGTAGATTTTTTTATAATTTTCTATTATTTTACTTCTGAATATTTACTATTTTTGTTGCCAAATAAAAATTTTAATTTTATTTATCTGTTTTATTTATTTTTGAAAATTAATAAAATAATATCTTAAATTTATCTTTATAATTAATTTCGAAAAATTTTAAGTTTTAATTCAATTAGTTTAGATTTTCTTAGATATAGTTAAGACTAATTATCAAAATTATAAAAATCAGTTGTTATTATTTTTACAAAATAGTAAATAAAATATTAACGTATTTTTTTTTAATATCCAAATTTAAATAATATTCTCATTATGATAAAATAATAAATAATATATTATTATATACTTTTTCATAATTAATTATTTTAAAATTTTAAAAATACATATATATATATATTATGTAATATGAAAAATAGAATAAAATTATATTTTTCTATTCATAGTTTTTTGGGATTAATAGAATGAACATGTTAAAATTATATTTTTATAATCGTGATCATATTTATTAGAAATTAAAAAAAAAATTATATAAACACAAAATTAAACTGTATCATTTATTAAAAAAAATATTTTATCTATAAAAATATAAATTAATTTATAAAATTAGATTAAAAAATAAATTTCACGAGATAAAATCTAATATACAGTAAAATATAAATTAAATTCGATAAATTAATAACTTTTGTTCCAGAATTGATTTATCAACCAAATTATTATTTTTATACATTAATAAAATATCATAATTATAAATTAATAATCCGCAGATTATTAATACTATCAGAAATCCATTTAATACTTCTATAAAAAAAAGCCAACTCAATAGTTAACAAATAATTTTATGTTGAAGATATGTTGATTGATATTTAAATAAAAATTTAAAGTTACCAAAGTATATAGCCTAATGGTTTGTATACTGCTAAAATATATTTCATTTTGAAATTGTTGGTAACAATTAGTGAAAATGTTCACATTTCTTACAAAGATTCCAGCAATTTTATATCGATGGTATCGTCTTTCCAAACATATTGAGTTTTGGGTACAACGGCCATTTTATTACCAAATTGTATAGAAAATTGGGCCAACGTAAGGCTCACAATATGAATATCTCGGCCCATTAAAACTATATTAATTTTTAATTCGATACCAAGCTATGAAGCAACCATTCATTATTACTATTTTCTACTTTTTCCTTCTATACGTATGTGAATGCAACCGCACTCTACTCAAGATAATTCTCAGTTCTCACCTTGCTTTTCTTAATTTCAATATTAATTCTCAGCTTGTTTAGTCATTGATTTAAACAACCCTTTAGGTTTATAAGAAAATCGAATTGATTTAAACCAGGATGAGTTCATCAGATGTCAAATACCTGTAAATATCATATAAAAGCCCTGCATTTTGCAAATTAAAGCAAACCAAAGGCAGTTTCGTTATACTAATAAAGAGTTATTTACTTATTTAACCAAATGAATACTTGTTATACTTTTTTAAAAAAAAAGTAAATAAAAAAAGTTGCCTCAGTATTAGTAACAAAAGGAATCTCCAAAATCGAGTTGTTTTCACATGAGAAATAAAAACAGAGAATATAATTTATTTTATTTGACATTTCTCAAAACTTTTACAATATAAATCTATTATATAAAGACTCAGTTGAGTCTCACAAACTTGACACATCAGCTTTTATTATTTTGACACATCAGTTTGGAAAAAAAAAAACTCAAACCTCATCCATATAAACATAAATTTGTTCCGGAAACCTAAGTGCATCAAAATATTGAATACAAAACAATTTAACTGCTTTCCTATATTTCAGAAAATATATTTAATTAACAGATAGCCTTAGTCTAGGAAAGATGACTCAGTTGAGTCTCACAAACTTGACACATCAGCTCCTATTATTTTGACATATTAGCTTGGAAAAAAAAAACTCAAACCTCATCCATATAAACATAAATTTGTTCCGGAAACCTAAGTGCATCAAAATATTGAATACAAAACAATTTAACTGATTTCCTATATTTCAGAAAAAATATTTAATTAACAGGTAGCCTTAGTCTAGGAAAGATTAGGCTTTAAAGAGACTAGATATGATGGTGATGGCAAATACGGCAAGATTTTGAATCGGATCTAGCTGCAGTGAATTGAATCTACTAATCGAAAAGCTGAAAGGAGCACATATTTTTTAGATTTTCATGTTTAGATGGCATCGGAGGAAGGAATTTTCTGGATAGACAGTGGAATAAGCTGGAATTGGCAACGCATGCATAAATCTGAAAATTTGTCATTATCATCATCATCTTTTTATTCTGATTTTGAGCATGAAGACTCTCACTGGTATTCACTAGAATTGCATTTAGGCATGTGTGACTGACACACTCAGGGAAACATATTTGGGTAAATATGTTTAATTAACTTCTCCAAAAACAATTATTTTGGTTCAGATTTTGAGTCTTTGCAGATCCCTGTTACAGATATAGATATGTAATTCAGTTTCCTCGAGACTTTGTTAGTAAGTGAATCAAATATTTAACATTTCCTCTCTAAATTCACTCAAATGAAACGAGTTTATAGATTTTGGTACATAGTAAAAGATTTCAAATGAAAAAAAAAAAAGATTTCAAATGCAGGTGATATGCATGTATTATCTGGCAATGATATTTGCAGATGGAACTGATGGAA